TCTCCACATATGGCAAAAGGCCTCGATGTCTTCATCGGTCGCATTATGCACTCCAATCAATTGCGGACAAATCAAAACTAAACTTATGAAACCGAACTGTATGCCTGCCATGTCCGCATTATTTACGCCTTTCGGCTTGTATGGCGACTTGTAAACCAGCTCGAAAGAACTTTGTTCCTTTTTCTTATGTGGACACGCCGCGGCAAAATCCTGTAGAAGCAACTCACGATCCGGGCACCATGGCTCCACGATTTTGGACTTGTTGTCGATTTGCTCGTCATCGAGCTCACGCAACTTTGATTGTATCATTAAATGCATTTTACGCACAATTTTCATCTCTTTACTGGCTGGCGTTCCTTCAATCCAAGGCTCTCCGTCATACCAACAAATTATTCGTTGTATGGTCGACATATACCTTGCAAGTTAATTATATTATTATGATCAATTTAAAAAAAGATGCACATAATTAATTTATAATACTGTGTCACAAAGTTAACATAACACCGTTTAATAATGTTTAAAACAAGAAAAATAATATAAATAAAATATAAAATATCAATATAATACTTGGGAAATAAAAATGATATAATAAAAAAATATAATATTCATAAATATAATAATATGTAATAAATAGCAGGTAGCAGATAAATTTTCAAAGAATTGACTGCGTTTTAGTAGAAAATCAGCTTTCTAACTATACAAACTTTTAATATGATTGTTTCTTGCTCTTAGTTTCTCTGGATCTAAATGTATCCAATCATATTAGAGAATCTTACAAACCTGTTGACATTGCTAAATGCAATTACTAACTCAGTGAATATTGATTTTGTTATTAAGCTAGTTTGTTTTTTACGGGTCAAAGTACTCGGTACAAAGTATCGTCATATTAAATGTTAAATTAAAAATATACCTTTTGAACCCTAAGTATGGCGTATGAGAGCTCTTTGATATGATCAATGGTTTTAGACCCTCATTGAAGGAATATACAAGCACAGTGCCCAGTATTTTGCCAATGAGAAGTGACGCAAAATTTTCACGCACAAATTTCTGTCCCCTGCGATATTTATCCATGTCTAACCATTCAGGTACATTCAGCATCGTTGGCTGGCAATCCCCGGGGCGAAAAAAGACCGGAATGAAATCTAACAATGATTTTGGTATGTCTGAAAAGAATGCGGCAATGTTATCGTTTATCCACATGCACTGCTGTTGTACAGTCCACATGTCGAAATTGTTCGGAAATAATTCTCGCTCGAATGTGCTCTTGAACATCATCACGTATCTATATTCATTTGAACTTTTCAAAGTGTCTTTTGAGTCTTCAGTTAACATAGACATATTGTTAGGAACCGTCATTTTAGTCAGAAAGAATTTTTATTGTACAAACGAAGAGTTGGAAGATATCATTGGAACTAAACTTGTATCACTTATGCGCTTATTTATAATCGCGTTTTTGTTGAACTTTAGCCGATACTTTTTGGAATATCAAAAGATAAATGAGAGTTGATTAGATATTCATATCTTTGCTTGATTGCGATGTGCCTCTCGTACAAAAGAATTACTACTAGTCAGTAAAAACATTATTGAAATGAAATAGTGGCACTGCTAGTATAGCCACAGTATAACCAGTAGGTGATTCACTCAGCGAAAAACTGAGTCTTCGCGCAGATATCGCCGCGCAACTTTTGTTTTGGGTTGGATCCAATGAAATGTAAGATGATAGGAACGTACATACATATATGTGCAGACAATTTATAAGCAAATACATCAGAAATTTTCTTTAGTGACTCCTACGAATAATTGTTACTAATGAAACGTTTTATTTGATTCACACATTGAATTTATTGATTTACTGTATCAAATCCATATTATTACTTATCTGTTTTATTACTAATTGTGAGGCACTTTTCTCAATTCAATCCTGGATTTAACATGGTGGATGCTCACGTGATCTGGAAAAGGAGATCAAAGGCGCCAACGCGAAGTGACTGGTTATACTGTGGTATAGAAGTGACTATATACTTTCTTTTTTTTACTAGAGATACGTGTCAGGCCTTCACACATAAAATCCCGTAAGATTGTAAGACGTAAGTGTAAGAAAATCGACCAATCCCAATTGAGTATTAGGTTGTCCGTAACCCCTTCACTCAATTGCAATTGATCGATTTTCTTACGCTATTACGTCTTATATACGACCTTACGGGATTTTATGTGTGAAGGCCTTATACAAAAAAAAAATTACAGACATTAAAAAAAATAAAATTAAATATTAATATAAGATTAGTCACAAGGCAAGATCCAGAATAAATGTGATTTTTATTATAATGTAAAAAATTTTATTGTAATTTAATTTTATTAAATTTAATATTTAATATTTAATTTTTATGACATTAAAATAAATGTGATTTTTATTATAATTGAGAGGTGATGCAGAAGAAGTTCACCTTGAAAAAAGATCTCATAAATATATGTATTCGAGATTTCATTGAAACGTAGCTCCAAACTAAAACTGGATTACATAATATCACTGAATATCACAAATTAAATTGACAAGTAATTTAATAATTTGTATGTCAATGTGCGTCTACTAAATTCTATAGAATAATTTTGTTGCGAAAAATATTATTTTAACCAGCGTTTAACCTGAGTTGCGTAAATTATGACATGTTTATACATATAATTATATATCATATCATTGCATAAACATCTAGCTAACTATAGCTATAGCTCTTAAATTTTGATTTAATTATGATTATTTTTTTTATCACATGCCTCTAATATAGCTAGCACTTGACATCAAGATTTCCAATCAACACTTTCCGTGTCTCTTGATAGTAAACATGAGAAATAAGAAATATGTATAATATACTGTAAGATAAAACTTCGTTTTTACAATTAAATGTCGATAAATGAAATATCAGCAGCATACAAGTACATTTGTTAAGGTCAATTTATTTCTTGTAAGTCACGTTATAATATTATATTGTTATATAACTCGCACTTGTAAAATATGTAAAAAATGATTGATGATAACATTCTGTTAGATATCATTGTTGGAAAAGAAATGAAAAATGCGTTCCTTCTTCTCTCAGGATTGGACTGTCAGGCTTTGTTCTCCTCTCGCGACGCGAGAAACACTCGCGGATAATAATTACAATCATGCGCGAACTGGCGCGGTCTAATTACTAATAAAAGTCTTATTCGCGCGACACTGCGGTATTTCACATTTATAAAACTCATGACAGGATTTCCAGTTCGGCCGAAGGTTTTTTCGAATGGCATTCATATAAAAGTTCATTATTAAGTCCGATGACTTGAACGGCACTCCCGAAACAAACGTGCGACGCGACTATAACCGGCTGCGCGCGGTTCGTTTAACTTAAATTATATCGGCGGCGATGGGTACGTTTAGCTTCCCCGTTTTTGCATTTAAATCCTCAGGGTTATACCGAAAATTCAAATTCTCAGGGTACTGAGCCCTTCAACCACGACAAGGTCATACCCGTTTGAGGGAAGGGGGGATATTCTATCGCTGATAAAAAGCGGCACAATAATTTTACATTTTAAGAATGCAGAGCACCGTGCAGTCCTGTATATCAGCAGTACGTCAGTCGTTGAAATATTTAACATCATAAAATAAATATCAAGTATTTTCTTCAACGTATCATGAATTAATTAGGGTATCGCACTAACCGGTTTGCGCCGCGCACTGTTAAGTTACGTATTCGCTTGAATATCACAGTAGAAATGATATGATCTAAACCGACAATTAAATCCCGTGAGAATAATTGTTACCGTGCCGTGCACAATGCAATATTTAATGTATCAATTAATAATTTAAATTTTATTATTTTATGTAAATTCATTAAATTAATAATAATATACGTATTTAAATATTTAAGATTTTTTATTAGCAATAAATTTAAATATATAAATCAAAAACGCCAAATTAAAGAGATTATTATCTACTATGAGCTTAGAAAGTGTCTTCACGTTTTTTACTTTACGTTTCAATATATTTTGTTTTTACACAAGTTTTTTTTGACAATTTTCATAAAATCGTCGTAGAAAACTCTTTCTTTGAACAATTATATTTTGCGCACAAATTGACGATCAGTTAAGTATAGGAAATTTTATAAGTTTTAATTTTGATACTACATTTTTTTTATTTTTTACGTAAATCTAGTTATAAAAACTGAGATATTTATTAAAAAATCGTTATTTTTCGTTATTTGTTAAATGTGTTCTTCTTTTTAAAAATGTTGGAAAAAAACAATTTTTCTCAAAGCTATTTTTCCAAAAATAAATTTTGGAGTGTAATACATATACACAACTAAGATCGTACATACATAAATACATAAGTGGATGTAACATGGACACGCACCACAAATTGTATACCCGCGGTGCAGAAAAGTGGATGTGCTATGTAGTTTACAGGAGGGGCGTTAGTGTGCGAGGGCATTTTGCGATACAGGGAAAAGATGGGCGGTCATGTCAGATTGTAGAACCAGCTGAAATGTGTTGACAACTTGGTGTGTTATGACTCGGATAAGGATTTTCGTGCGTCGTTAATCGCCGTCACGTATAATCGTGGACAATTGCATCAGACATCTGCGAAATATACATTTCTCTTTATTAATGAGAAGAACACAATGTTGAAGTATCTCTTTGCCGTTGCGATAATCACAATTGCTTGCCTGCTACAGCGGTCTGAGGTTAGGAACGCCTTCTCGCGATTGTATTATTTAATTCCGCTTACGGACCGCGGATTGTACCTTTAACGACTGCGAAAATGATTCCAGGCGCAATACGATGACAAGAGATGCAAGTGCATCTGCCCGAGCCTTTCCTCCGTCATAAACACGACGCAGTCGTCTATGGAACGTCTCACGTACATTATAAATGTACCACCAGTGCAATGGTAATTGTGTACAACCGCGTCAGTGTGTCGAGTAATTTTGAGAAAAAGAAACATCGCCTTTATTTTGTTATACAACAGAACTCCGTGTTTCTGCGCTTCCATTTATGCGAACAAGTTTGCAGTGCTCGCAATCAGTTCCAAACATATGAATTCGTAGCTGAACTCTTTTTATAGTAGCCCGAACTCCACTTTGAGCTCCAATTATTGGAACTAATAAGTATATCAGCTCCTATTATTGAAACTAACAAGTGAGTCTTTATTATACAAATCATTCGATTGTCAAAACTGTCCCCCAATATATTTGGATAAATGGAGTTCTACTATAATTAAATTCAATTTATATAAAATTTATATTCAATATATATAAAATTTTTGAGTTTATAAATGAAACATGGATTCTACCATGGAAACTAATAAGGATTCCCTATGGTCATGTTCCAATATACACTGTTGGTACTAAAAGTCTATGATATACACGATGTAAACTATAGATTCTTAGTGTGTGTCGGAACATGATCTATGTCACACACACAATTGGCAATGTTATTTGCTTCAGAATTGTCATAAATGTCACCAGTATATTGTAATACATTTATGATTTGCAGTAAGTGTGAAAGCGTTGTCCTGCCGAAACTTGGTGAACAAATAAAAGGCAAGGAAGAAGTGTTTTGCTCGCGATGCGACTGTAAATATGAAAACAGAAACACAACTATTATTAAGGTACATACTTCTTCGCTGGTTCAGTTCACTAAACTTCTCTGCTGCTGTCATACAGACTTGTGAATCACAACAACAGAAAAATTTGTGTTGCAGATCGTGGTGATAATAGTTATATGGGTTATTTCGTTGTTAGTAATTTATATGTTATTTTTAATTTGCCTGGATCCGTTGCTTAACAAGCGGATACACAAGGCGTCAGCAAATATCGGTTACCATGAGCATAATAATGAGGAGGTAAATATGCCATCTTATAAATATAAATATGTCAATCTTATTTGTCTCTCCGAAAAAAACCTCGTGCAAGTCATGATGCTAAAAATCGCTCCGAGATTTCGAATTAGAGAAACAATTCACCAATTGTATCCAATTGACTGAATTGTTCAAATGTGATTCGTTAGTTCTTTCCCCGTCTGAGATCTTGGAGCAATTTTTAGCATCGTGGATGCAAGGCTTGTCACGTTCGAGTGTGCGAAGTAAAGTTTAATAACTTAAGTATGCCGATATATTGTACATGTTCCTTTCTTTCTTTTATTACAAAGGACGACTCATCTCTTGCGCCTGGAACGTCACATCCAATGGGAGAAAGGGGCAATGTTTTGAATCGCGTCGGACACCAGCAAGACAAGTGGAAACGACAGGTTCGGGAACAGAGGCGGAATATTTACGATCGTCATACTATGCTGAATTAAGTTGCATGTTTCGCTCCCTAAGTACGTAAAATACCCAAGCACACGGAATACTTCTAGTTGCGACGACGATTCATTCGATCCATTTTGAATCAAACCTTCCGTGTATAGTTTGTAAAAATATATGTTGCAGAAATAAAGTTAACATTAAGATTATTTCTTTGGCGATCTAGCTTCGTAAAATTATTTTCGGTAAACTTTGGTAAAATTCTTTTCGGTCACTGGCTGATATTAAACGAAAATATCTATTCAGAGATTTTATAATTTATTCTATGATTATAGTTGCAATTAATTAATAAACTGTTAAATACATGTACTCGTATATTAATGACGCGTATTATATGTATATATTTCTCATTAGTATCCGTGAATAAATATTTCAGGTTTAATGTTTATTATTTTATATGTGCAGAAAACTTATATATAAATTATATATCGCCATAAAATTAACTCTCTCCGCGGAGAGATAATTTTGGTGCCACAATTTCCAAAGAGTTTTTAGCCGTGAAAGCAATAGTAAAACAGAATCATCTTTATATTTTTAATAGAATTCTTTTCAATATTATATATTATTGTACTTGTTAAATGAAAATCTTTAATCATGTATAAAACACTCGAACACTTCTTAATCGTATATACTGCGGTGCAAGACTTACTAAATTCCTAAGGTGTCTGAACTTTCGTGATTACTTTCGCAATCGAATCTTTGATCGTGTCATACAACGTCAGGACGATAGCACCACCGGTGCCACGAAGAATATTTGAGAATGCACCTTTGAAGAAAGCTGTGGGACCTTCGCTTCTTGTTATCTTCATCCAACAATCCAGTGTATTTTTGTACATCATTTCAGCCTTACTTCGTCCCGATTGCATCATCATTCGTCTTCTAACTGTATCGAAAGGGTAGGACACGATACCCGCGATCGTTGTTACTATCTACGAAGGATGATACTTGCATAATTAAAAAAAAAAAAATTATTGTACTCGTCACCCCGTTTGTATTCTGTATACATTTGCGATAGGAAGAGGAAAAGGATCTGTACCTCGGCGATTATAAAATTCATGTACAACGGTGTGCTCTTTGGGTCGGACAGCATACCCCTCGTAGTGTCGTAAAATCCAAAGTACGTCGCGCGATATATGATGATCCCCTGCACGCTGACGTTGAAGCCACGATACAGTCCGAAAAATCCGTCCGATTTAAAAATCTTCCATATACAGTCGTTCATTCCCATAAACTCCCGTTTCTCACCCTTTCCGACATCGACGGCTAATCTAAAAGATTAGATTGTCTTACGCTTAAATATAGATCGTCTTAGAATCTAAGCTACGCTAAAATATTGTTAACTCTTGTTCTTTTATTGTATTTATAGGAACTCTTGATTGACAAATCATGTTAAATTAAAGCTTTCTATAGCTATATGTACTGTAATATATTATCACCATATACATGTATAAAACATACCTGGTACGAGCAAAGTCAAGCGGATATACGAATAAAAGCGATGTCGCACCAGCGGCACCGCCGGCGGCTAGATTTCCAGCGAAATGCCGCCAGAAAGCGTCCGGTGGCACGCCACCCAGAAAGAAGGCCTTAAATTTATCTTTAAACGCAAAATTGAGCGCCTGAGTCGGAAAGTATCGAATAACGTTGGCCAAATTGCCTCTGTAGAAACTGAGAAATCCGGTTTCCTGAGGTATGCGCACCATCGCGTCTATCATACCTGTGACGAGATTTGTTGGCGAACAATAGAATGAGAGAAACTAACGGACGGATCGTCGATCATTTCTTGCGCGATGCATTAAAAAAAAAACGTCCAATCGCTTCGACATACCCTTGTACTGTTGTTCAAGTTTAATCTGCTTCGAGGTATGCTGCACCTGCAGCAACAGTTTCACTCTTTCTAGGGGAGCGACCGTTGTCTTCGCAATCGCCGCGGACAGACCGCCCGCCAGGAAATCTAAGAGAAAAGACTTGTGCGTCTCCATTTCTCGCGGGGAGGATGCCAAAAATCGACAGGGTCTAAGAAAATAACGGTCCGTCAGCGCGGACCGTGTTGGAGCCAAGCGTCGTTTGCATACTTTTAATCGTCGTCTATGTATTTATACGTTGATATCGAAATATATCGCATCTTTGCACTATCTGTCAAAAGGAATGAAATGGCAGAACTACTATGCTACGAGTCATTTGTTTTGTCAGTCTACGAGATGCATCGTTTTCAAATAATCGGAGGATCGCTTCTTGTCCGTTTCTATGAATGTTAAGATTAATTTAAAATTTCGATTTAATTTATTTTTTAAAATCTTTTTCTAGTTCTAAGGAAAAGAATAGAAAATAGAAAGTAAAATCGAGAAAAAAGTAGAAATGATTGAGAAATGAACATTAGACGTTTGAAAATCAATAAACATCATGATCGCAATATTGTAGAATAAATAAATAGGAACAAGATACACGAATTATGCTCGTAATCTTTACTTAACTGTGTCATTGTTTTACACAAAAAATTAAATATATTTTTTTAAAGCTTTACGTTTTGGTCATGTAAATATATGCAGTCGGAAGCTTTTATTCGAAAGTTACAACTATGATTCATATAAATTATTGGATCATAGTGATGTCTACGACTTTTATAAACATGGGATAAAATATATTATCGTTTCCTTCATCTTGCATCTTATACAGAAAATAGAATGCTCACGCCAAATGTTATATATAAATTTATCTTGAGGACTAGAAGAAAGATTTCTTTTTTTTTTATGTTGAACGATGTTGAATGACGAGTATATTAAATACTTTCATCTCTAAACAGATGCTTAATTATATTTGTAAGATACATGATAATAGAATATATTTGGAGAAATAGCATTCGGCACATATTGGCATAGAATTACATACGGGGGGACCATCATGCCCTCAAGAGATTCGACATAGAGAACGCGCACACTGTTCTTTTTATTTAAACGTACGTTGAGTTAGGAAAATATAATTAAGCAGTTAGTAAAATCTTAAAATTAAAAAGTGATTGGTATAAAAATAATATCAGTAATAAGCGATATATGTCAAACCACACTTTCACTGTCTTGATTAGTAAAAATTATTGGAATGAACAAATGATACACACACATCACGCGAAATTCCTTGTGCGAAGTACTACATTCTTTAAATTCTCTTGTAATAAAAATCAGATCATTAACTGGCTAACTAGCTTTCGAAACCGAAAGTAATGCGCCCAATTTGGGACCATATAACACACACGTGTTTTACACAGAAGCTATAAAAAATGGCAGTGAAAGTGTTGAATTTTCGCAATAGAGGAATCCCGATGTTCTATTACACTTAGCCCACGCTAAAGGGCAAGATATTTAAAGTAAATGTATATATAACAAAAGGATGCACTGAATACTTTTTTGTAAATGTATACATTGAAAAACGTATGACCAGAGAAAATTGCTCAATTGTTCTTCGTGTCGTATATTTACGCAGCGTGTACCGACTGAAAAAAAAAGATTTACGCATCATAATTTTGTCTCAGACTTCTACAAGGCAAAAAAAAAAAAACAATTTCACACAGGTTTTTACACGTACCTTCGCAATGTCCACGCCCGTCAAATTTTTAACAAGATCTGGAACACGTTGTACAATGTTGAAAACTTCCTCGGTTAGTTTTTCTGCACCAACAGTGCCATTACCGCTCGAAACCATGGTTATCTTTTTTGCTTGAGAGAGAGGAGCGGCTACTTCGGCGGCGACCTGTAAAGAGAGTTCAAGTTAGAATATTTGCGATTATTATAGCGCTTCTTCTTTTAAACGTCGCAAAGATTAATATACCTTTGGAAGTGCATCAAGCATCATGTCTATCATGGCTGCGGCCTTGTACTCGTTCCATGCCGCAGCTTTCTTTGCCATTTGTTCTGCCTCTGCCTTAGCTTTCGCTTCGATAGCGAAGGCTTCCGCCTCACCGCGAATCTTAATAGCTTCGGATTCAGCCTCAGCCTCCATGACGAGGCGCAATTTATTTGCCTCGGCCATTTTCTCTAATCTAAAAAAAAAAAGAAAAAACCGAATCTTAGTCGATGCGCAACGAAAGCTTCATTTGTAAGCATTACCTGAATTTTTCTGCGTCAGCAGGACGTCGCACAGTGGCATCTAATTCCCTCTCGCGTCTCAACATTTCCTGCTCCTGCACGGCGATCTCCTGACTGCGTTCCACAACCTTCACTTGCATTTGCTCTTCCATAATCCTCTGCTTAGTTTTCGCCGCTTGCAGTTCGAAGGCCATTTCCGCATCAGCTTTCTGTGATAAGTGATATCTTTATTTAAAAAAAAAAAAACTGTACACGGAATGTATTTCATAGAAAGGCATTAAAAATCTCCTCACTTTGGTCTGAACTTCGACATCATAAGCAGCCTTTTTCAATTCGAAATCACGCTGCGCTTTTGCGATCTCTGTGTCATTAAGGAAACGCGCAGCCATTCTTTGCTCCTCGGCGATGGCTTCCCTAATTTGAGCGTCTCTGCGAGCTTCTGCCTCACCTATTCTAGCATCTCTCTTCACCTCTGCGGTACGTGCCATACCGAGTGCTTGCAAATAACCCTACAAGTAATTATATTTCCATTTAAAACTATTGCACAGCGTCACAAAATTTATGACAGTGACTAACAAAATGATTGCAGCATTTTAAGTAAGCAATATCTGAACGACATAAAAAGGCAACATATATACATCGTTGCTCCAATTCAATATTGAGATTCTTTTAAATAAAAAAGTTTGAAAATACTTTGGCAATTTATACAAAACAATATTCATATAATATTTAATATAATGTTTAATATAATGTTAAGAGACGTTTAAAAACCATAGTTTTATTTTTATTTTCTACAGCTATATATTTTCATTAAAGAAATATTTAAATTATTAATGAAATAAGACAAATTTCAACAATATCTTCATATTTCACTATTTAAAGATACCTCAGTATTGAACCAACAAGTGCACAATTGTGTTGTTACAAAAAGCAATGAAAATTTTTGTTTCTCTTGTAATCTAAAGAATTTACTAATGTTAGAAGACATAGCGATGTGCGCTGTGATGTCAGATATAATAGTAATAAAATAAAATTTGAACATACCTTTGCCCCCTGCAAGTAGCAAAACAAAAAGGTATTCAATATTTACAATATACAAAAGCTCTAACTTAATTACTTGAAAAAAAGTTTACACTCACGTATCAATTATTAACAGACATTATTGAATACTGTCTAAAGGGGGTCTTTTGAATATATCTCTGTGTATATACACTATGTATATTTTAATAATTCAGTTACAACTCGTGCATGTTAATCAATTGAGTTATCTATCTCGGTCAAAAGATTTTGGACACGTTTACGTGTTTGGATAATAGATTTTCGTGAGTTTATGCAGCAACAACCTGTTGTCTTTCGTACTGTTTATTAGAAATACGGTAAACTTACTTCCTCATCTCGGATATCTTTTAATGTATACGATACGACAGTAATGCCCATATTGACTAGATCACTGCTCGCCACCTCGAAGACTTCCTTGCTAAACTTTTTACGATCCTTGTAAATTTCCTGCGGCAAAAGATAGGCTCATGCGTCTAATTGTAATTTTTAATTACTTTAGGTTTTGTCCTTTAGGACAATTTGCTGGTGTTCAGCTTACCTCTACAGTCATACTACCCATTATAGCTCGTTGATGTCCTTCTAGAGTGACAAGAGCTATGTTATGTATCTCGTCTTCAGTTTTTCCAAGAAACTGCTCGCACGCCGTAGATAGCATCTCTTCATTTTGTCCCTGAATTTTTACCTGATGCAAATACAACATTTTGCCATTTATGAATGCTAAGCTCATTAATATCTTATTAATTTATAATCTAATTAATTTAAAACACTTGCAAAGCTACCACAATTTTATAAATCTATATTATTATTCATTGGCTCTGTAATTTACATCTTTATATGTTATTATATTATAAATCATTTTAGACCTAATTTGGATTATATATGTATATGCGTCAATTCTAAAGAAATATATAAATTATTAATAAAATAAGACAAATTTCAACAATGTCTTCATATTTCATTGTTTAAAGATACCTAAGTATTGAATCAACAAGTGTACAATTATATGTTGTTGCAAAAAGCAATTACATATAATTATAACAAATAGGCTATCTTGTACTATCTATGTACTATCTTGTAGGTGTAATATTGTATGTACATGTAAAAAAATATTTTTTCTTAACTACCTGTGCAATGCCTGTTACAGATATTGGAACTCCTTGACAGGTGTATACTGTTGGACTCTCGACTTGTAAGGTCATCGTATTCAGAGAAATCCTGTAAAAACAAGATATGTGGCATAAGCCAAAGGATTTCATTACATTGTCCATCGACTACTTTACGACACTCACTTTTGTACTTGTTGTACGAGGGGCCAGACAAACACCCGGCCTCCAGGCACCAAGAGAGGTTTGGTGTAGCAACATCCTGGAAGCAAGAAGGCAGTTAACGTAAAAAATATAGAAAACTGGCAATACAGAGAGCCGCGAGGAAGGCCACGGCTCGGCCGGCAATTAAATTAATTGCGGATAAAAGACTCGAGCTGCACACATAAATTACATGTTTACATAATCGAGCGGTGCTCGATTGTTTGGATATAGCGGGCGGATAAATCTAACGTGATTCTAATGCGATTATAGAGCGTGTAGCGTAAGGCATAGGTGCGGTTGCTTGCAATCGATCCCGCGCTTCTCCCCCCCCGCCGTCACGTCGCGCGGATCAATTATCTAGGATGCTCGTGCACTTCTTCCATGTTTTTTTTTTTCTTTCCACGCGAGAACGCGATTAAATCGGAGAAAAATATGCGGACGCGAAATGAGGGAACGTAGAGATATCGGGAGCGGCGTTCAACGGCGACTCCTCGCACGGTTACCTGAGACGACGAGAGCCTCGTTCGGGCCGCAAGTGACGAATCCGCAGCTCATAATTACACGTCGACGTGACTACGGCCGCTGTGCGTAAAGACCGTGAGCTTCACGCAGTCGATTGACTGACGTCGACGTGCCTCTCGTAAACGTACAACGCGATAGCGCAAAATCCTCCCCTCTCTCCCGCCACCGGCGTTTTCCTATGCTCCGGTGCGCTCCCCGCTCCCCCCTCAATGTTGACGGTCCAAAGTCTAGAACGCAGCGCGCATGAGCGAAGTAGGGAGACCTGAATTTATTTACTGAAACTGATACTTTTAAAGATCTGAGTTTTACTTTTTTTTTTTAACGATACACGTCTCTTTCTTGAAACTCGACTCTTCGGAACGAGAACGACGAAAGAGATCTTCTCGTGCGTCGAGCGATTCGATTAATTTAATTCGCATTCAAAATGAATTTTCATGTCTTATCTTGGAGACAATTTGCGAAAAGGAAATATTTGACACCTATCTGCGATTATAATCTTAAAAAAAACCTGGCTTAGTTTGAACTGCGTCTGTTTGATAGTTCTAGATGTCAAACATTTGGAGCTCGAAGGGATTGAAGCAATGCACGCCTAGCAAAATAAATATTGATGTAAATCAACTCTGTTCAGGAAGCTAAGACACTAAAGTCGAATTATGTGAGTAATAGCACGTAACTAACACTGAACATGTCAAACATATTGAAATGTCAAATGAATATGTCAAACATGGAACAAAATCGAAAAAAATATATTAAAAGCGATAGCACTTATGTATTACTATGGCTGTGTTCGGGGAATGCGCTATCAGTTTGTATCTCTATTTATCTTTATCATTAATTAAACATAAAATAAGACAGAGTCTTCTCAGTACAAATGATGCAATAGTTCTAATGCAATAAGACGCTCCCCGAACGCAGCCTAGTACTAATATAAAGTAATAATAATTACTACTTACTATATATAGTGATAATTAATATATCTAGTAGTATATTTCAATATATATCTTTCGAGCGTTTCCAAAAAAAAACATAAAAAATCCTAAAATTATCAGGAGAATATATATTTCAACAAGAGATATTCAGAGTTGTAATACGCATTTTTCGAAACTACCGAAAGATCGTCAATCATCAAAACATTTTCCAATAAGAGGTAGCGAGAGTTAGGATATTCAAACTTTTCAATGGATGTGAATGATGTACGCGAATGAAAATATAACTGTCGTGACATTGCATTGTTTCTTGATTTTTCGATTTGTAATTAAAAAATATATATATCTGCTGTAAGAAATTGCCAACGTTAGATGTATTCAAAAAGTATAATTAGCTAATAGTACAGTCAGATTTAAAATCGTCTGAATTGCTTTTTAAATCTCTCGTAATGATAATCGTCCGTCGCCTTCTCCCCGTTGTCTTTTCGCTTTCCTCGGATGTCCTCTTTGGTGGGGCATTTTTTCTTGTCACCGGATTCTTGCTGCGATTTCTGGAACTCTGAGTCTTCTATGTTAACTGAAATTATAATGAACGTTTCAGTTACAATTTTATTGTTTAACACGAAGAATTCTAATGTAGGGAAATAAAATGCATGCGGCAGAGTTGCGCTAGACAACAAGTTCAATTGCTCAACAGTTTGAAAATATCGTACGTATCATTTCATTACAGATCTATCGAAAAGTAATACGAAGAGTAAGACTCGTACATCTGTTGTGCTGCACGAAATTCACGGCCATATTCGTAGGAACAAACTGCGAGGGTCCATCTTTCTTTCTGTGTCTGTCCCAAAGAAGTTTCAATTTTGCCTCTTCGGTAGCTTCGATGTTACGAATTTTAGCTCTGAAAATGAATTGAATGGAGTTTTTAGGGAAAATATTTATGGTGAAACTTATAGATCTTAAAATTCGTATTTACAAAAGAATTTGATAAAATTAAATCATTATCTACACATTGTGTTTTTTTTTCAAGTTTCAACTGCAAAGATCATCTCTTTACTTGGAAAAATTTACTATGAAATTTACTATGAAATTTACTATAAAAAATATATTTGTGACTGTTTTTTTAAGGTACAAATATACTCACTCTATGCCGAGGTCAACTTCCGGAATACCAGAGAGCATTTGATTTGAAAGCATTTCCTCGCTACGATTGGCTGAACTTTGTCTCAGATGTTCCGGCACCGCGCGCAACGCCGCCTCCTCAGGTGAGCAATACGATCCCTTCTCGTTATTCGCGCTATTCGTCGCATCGTTATTAGTCTTACTCTTGCGCTTTGACAATTCTTCCTCTATGTATTTGACCCTAATAGAAATAGTTGTACAAACTTGTGACATAAGACACTTAAGTCAGCAATGATGAATAACTAATATTAAATATTTCATTAAGTGTAATAATTTTAACAAAAAGAAGCAAACGTCGTGCATACATTTCTTCATCTTCGTCACGTTTATTAGTCTCTGCGTTGAACTGCGTTCCAATGCCAGTTTCGTACGCGTCGTTTGGCTTGTGTTTTGGATTCTTCAGTGCAGCCATATTTACCATTCCTCCGGTTTTCATGTTAAAGGGATCCGACTAAATTAACATAGACCAATTTTTCGTATTACATCTCCTACATTGCATCTAGCATGCTCATTGTTTCAATTTTATTAGTAAACATATCCCACCGTTATGACATCAGACGCGACACTTTCTCCGAGAGCCAAACCAACGACGTCGACGCCAGCCGGCCTCTCGCGTAGTTTTTGAATGATCTTCATCTCCTCGACCTTCTCCCTGAAATAAGTCTCTTTCCAAATCCTCCACATTGCTTAATTAAAAGACAGGATGTGTACAATCCTTACCTGAGAGACACCTTTTCCCCCTCGCTGTCATTATCATCTGAAAGAGCTTCGCGTTTCCTTAAAGATTTTTTCTTCTTCTTCTTAAACTGGATGATGTTGGGCGCTTCATCATCGCCGCTGCCCATTTTCGTTAATTAATTGATTAATTAAATTCTATCTCGAGTAAAAAAATCAAGTAAAACCACAACAGACAGGTTAACGCGTTGTCGCAGAGTCGCTGTCAATCGACCGACGTTACCGACAAGTCTCCATTATTCGCGAGGGCCGCGGGGTTTGAGTCTCCGCTAAACTAGGTTCGAGTCTCTACTAAGTTGGATTCAGTTGGGTTCGAGTCTCCGCTAAATTGGCTTTGAGTATCTGCTATGAATAAACTTGAATTAAAGGTAGAGGGTTGTGTAATTCAAAGATGAATCTCAAATTTTCTGAATAAGAATTTTTTTCTTCCTTTTTCGCAACGAGACATTAGGAGATAAAAGTATGTAATAAAAATTATATATGTATATATATATAAACACAAAAGTTATATAAGGAACCGATATGTGTGTTCTACTTATGCGATAAAGTCGACAAATTCGAAGGTGGAGTATGTATGTATGTACGCGAGTTTACGCATACGATGTATATAGCGTATTATCTATCAGCTGACAGTGACATTACGTAGGTCACGTGACGCATCCCACGAGTGAATTCAATTCTGCGGTCATGTGACACAGATATAATAATTACATGAATTTTTATAGAACTAACTAATTTGAACAATTTTGAAAAGCTTATTGCTTTTTTATTAATCGCACTGCATCGAGATGAAGTTTTCTCGCGTCGATCTCACGTTTTAATATACAAAGTGCGCGTTGCGTGCGATTAACGTTGGAAGTGCTTCACAAAGTGCCGCGCGATTATTACTCTGGCAATCAGTGCGCGCGATCTTAATTAACCGTTTTTTTTTTCCGCAAGTGTTGTCTCGAGCGAGTGAGCACCAAAAAAGTAATAGAAAGAACAGTAAAAAGCAAGAAAGAAGAGACTGGCTTGGGAAGGCTGAAAGGTGACGGTGAAGAAACTATAGAGAATGAATTTCAATTGGGAATCATTTATTTATTATTTTTTACTTACGAGATTAATTTTTTTCCTGTGGCAGACGCACTTCGTGAATTATTTTGTAGTGCAGTGCATATAAGATATTTTAGACTTTATGTTATTAGTAGTATTTAATATGTAATTTTAAAAAATGCATTTTATAATTATGTTTCACGATTATATATTTATATGATTAGACATTTTAAAATTATTTTTATCTTGAATTTAAGAACATGAAAAATTGTAATTTGAATTATAAATTTAATGTTACAGAACGCCGTGGATATGAGAAGTTTTCGCATTAAAACGAGAAATTGACGAAAAAGAACGTCGGCACTTATAGGTGACAAGCATAACGATGGAAGCGGAACAGGAAAGATTGTGAGATACACATAACGTGGCAATGTGCGCTTCTACTACCGCAAGCAAGAATGAGAAGTGGGGTGAATCAGTGACGGATTAACATCTGCTGAGGACTCGAAGTATTACACAATAATATAAGCAATCTCCTTTTCTCTCTCTCGTTTGATATACTTATATAACCTATTCATTTGAAAATATTTCATAAAAATATAATGTATAAATTATAAAATTTAATATAAAATTTATTTGCAATCAATATCGGTTTAAATTTCTATAAGAAAATAATAAAGATTAATTAATTAGTAGTTCCTTTTAGAAGGAATTAAAGGAAAAAAGGAGAGAAAGAATTTTTGTTCATAAATTCTATTACATAATATAATTCTAAAAAAGTGTCAGTAATATATTTAACTTGCAACATGAATAAGATTTAAAGATCTTTTTAAAAGCTCCTATTTCAATATCTTGTAAAGATCGAGACAACGCTGCTTCCACTGGTTTTTTTTCTAATTTTAACGAATATACGTTTCATTCTATTTATTACGATGATATTTACAGGAATTCGGGAATAAAAGATCCGATAAATTCTACATGAATTTACCGTGTTTCGTCTGATTGATCCGGCACTGCGGGCAGCGGCCGTAGCGTGGCACTGGCAACGCAGTGGGAGAATAGCGGCTCGGCTGTTAATACCGTAGGTAGTGCGCAGTGGTAAAGGCAGGCCTCCGTGCGCGCGGGCCGTGGTGAACACACACAACAGGTGTCCCGCGCGATCGGCTGGGCTCTCCCGCGGTACCGGTTCGGTTCTCGTCCATTTTGCTCCCCCCGGGTGTTTACCTCCCCGTCGCCTTTCACTCCGGGACGAGAGGCGCGCGAGCAGCAGAGAGCACAGATCGTGGAGGTATACGGAGCCCGAGGAGCGAGGTACATACGCGAGCGCGTGTGGTGAACCCGACAGCGTGCGGATCGGCGTAACATGATGTCGGAGACCGTGGTGACGATGGACGGTTCCAGCAACAACGCCAGCAACAATCCGCGGCAGGTGCCGACGGTGAAGACGGAGCCGGGCCAGCCGAACCCGTTGGCCGGCATCCGGATCAACGTGCCTTACTTCAAGACCATACCCGGTATCCTCAAGCTGGTGCAGCTGGTAAGCGGCACTCACTTTTTGCTATCCCATTCCGTTCCGTTTGTGGCGCGAGACGCGCGCGGTGAAACGTGCCGCGCTATCCTAGGCACGGCGACGAACACTGGCAAGCACACGTCTGTAACAATAAGTTTTGATACTAATTTTAACGCTCCGATAGCGCAAATTCGTGCACTGTCCGGATAAAGTCAACCGAGCCACCGCGAAAGAACCACCGTGTTGGCCTCGAGCTAATCGGTTTTCTACGAGATGGAACAGCGCAGGTCGTACAATATGTAAATATGTGCAAATATCGGAAAAAAAAAGACGAGACTCAACCTCTCGGTCTGACGATGACTGAATGATAATACAATAACAGACCACGTTGTGACATGTGTTTGACAATGGTTCTTGCGATTCGGAATTTTATGGCAATCCCAAGTAGAACACGAAATCATAATAAGATCAAAATGACATTAAATTGAAATTATTTTAGGAAAAATGATATGAAAATAATTTTACAGTGATTTGTTTATAACTGGTTTTTTTTTTTTTTTTTTTATAGAAAAAGGTCACTAAAATTGCTTTCATATCAAGAATTTATCACTAAACCATCATCAAAAGTATATCAAATTATATCATCAAATGATATCATTTTCCTAAAATAATTTCGATTTAATGTCATTTTGATCTTGTAGCTCTACCTGGGATATTATTTTATCTCGCAGTGAATAGGATTGAAAAAAAAACTTAAGAGCGTATTCCTGACGTATAAGCTTTTAAAGTTGATTTTTGATGAAATAGGTCTTTATTATTCGGTGAAATATACGCGTGATCGATGAATCTTTGCAATATGAAATTGCCAGTAATTTTTGTCTTATAAAGAGAGATCTTATAAAGAGAGATTTATGATCTTATCATGCCCCAATGATTCTTCAGAATAATAATCTATCAGTAAACTTCAATCCATATGATATATTATCATGTCCCCGATCATTTTCCAATTACCGTTTGATTCTCCGTTCCTCGTGCATGGATTCTCTATTTCCAGCTTGGATTTAGCTCGATATACTTGATGGTTATCACGTAATATCTAATAATAGAAACTTTAGAGTCACTCGGTGTATATTTTTATAGCATCATGTAGCAATTTCTGGTAAGTAGTACTACAATCCGGTTCGAAGAGGCAGAAGTGACGTTTTTGACAGTCGAATAGATGCATCATACATTTTCTTTTATATACGCGAGTTACGTGCAAACGTAAACTGTGACATAATCAGAGATATGCATATACGCTTTTATCTACTTTGGTGTTCGCGCGGACACCTGTAGGTAGGTACTGTACTGTCCTAATGTTGCCAATTGGCAGAGCGCGGTGTATTTCATTATTAAATGAGCTCGACATATCTATATTTAAGATTAGAATGCTCAAAGTCCCCCCCTCACCCTTACACGAGTTTCCCTCATCATTGTAATATTCTTTCAATTTGGAGAATCGCCAAAAATCGAAAGAGATCATCACGAAAGTTTCACCTGCGCGTTCCCCCTTTTTCTGAGATTTACTTAACTTATTCGCAGCAGGGCGACTGTTAACTGTTTCACGGTCGACTGAAATTCAAGCGCAAACGTGGAAAAGAATTTCAGAAATAATGCCCGATCATTTGTATGCAGACGAATTCCTCGGAGGTGCTGCATGCGGACGGAATAACGTTATGTAATGTCTAAGTCGTGATTTCGCGCTTTGGTGTGGTAACAATGCTAAGATTCTAGCTAGTTATTGCACTATACGATATACGAAAAGTCATGTGGAAAAGCGATTTTCTTTCAGCTTTCGATTTCTCAGTATTGAATTCTACTCTTCTGTCTTGTATAAATATTATGTTCTCGATGTCTTGAAGAAGATTCCACGAATCTCTTCTTCCCTGCACGGCAATTGAATTCTTCGCTAAATGGAAATTCGTATATCGGGGGAGTGAGATAAAATTGTAACATAAAATTACTGTTATTGACTTTCGTATCGACGGGAAAATCTGAAGGTATTAATTGCACGCTTGCAGCCACTTTAATTAAGCTGTACCCTTTAATTATTTGCGCATGAGTTACCGAGAGCTACCTTATACGATTTCAATTTACTTAACGTTTGCGACTGACGTCCGGTACCGCCGAGGTTAACGATATATTGACGCTTTCACTTCGTTTTCCAGGAGTGAAATAATGCCGGTTGCATTTTAAGCGTCATTCCAATAGTAGAAATATGCCAAGGACCGTTCGCACGCCGCCTACTTACTTATCGTACATGAATACACGCTGGATAACGTCGTGACTTTGATAAGTACTTTACGCTCCAGGTCCTTGCGACAACCGCATTAGAAACAACTTCCTCGGTTCATTCGGTTCTAAGATCGATGCTTTCTAGGAGGAAATTTAACTTTCTCATCGGCCTCGATCCGAACGCTTGCTTGTCTCCGAATGCGACGAGAACGGAAAATATATTTACCGCTAGGTGAAACTCTGGTTTGGAGGAGAGAATTAGAAAGATCAACTAAAAAAAATAGTTATTTTTTTTGTCTCCAGCACTAAACACTTATTTACATATTATAGCCCGTTATAATAGCGAAATATAAACCGAAGTGTAAAGTTTTCTTCTGGTCGCTTCGCGTTCGAACGCCCGTATTCAATGTCTACGAATTGTTGCTTGAATTATGTTGATCTCTTTGAAAGGAAGTACACATATAAGTGTTTTCCTTTTCCTCTTTCTCTCTCTCTCTCTCTTTATTAAGTTACAATTGTTCGATGCTTGTTGCATCGGCGTTGACTTTCTGTACACGTAATCTCTGTGTGTATCTCCCCCGCAACACACCGAGAAATTGTGAATTCTTACGAAACCCGGAAGACAATTTTTGAACTAAAAACCTTGGCTGAGACGCTTGCCATTGGCTCCAATAAAATTCCCTCCCCGCGTATCATTCTTATTATTAAAATATATTTCTCGGCGCTGTCTTTCTGTGTAGGAATTTACGAGACGCCGTTGTACAGTTTCCAACTTCTGGTCATTCTAAACTTCTGACGCACGGATGCGAGATGTAAATATTATTTTCGCACAAATCTTACTAGGAATCGATCATTTTGCATTGCTTGTGAAGAATATAACAAAAATTTAGAATGTCACTTTCAAAATTAATATGTCACGCAATAATATTAGATGTTACACAAGATTAATACATCGCACACGTGTATGGAATTAATATGCGAAAAATCTCACCTTGAAGTGTGTTAAAATAGTATTGTCGATGGTTAATATAGAATTCGTCTTTTAAAAACTTTTTATTACATCCATTTTTAGCGATCTGTAAGATTAATCTCGAGCTAATTTACTTTTATTTTTTTCTAGTTCCAAGAATCAGAAAAAGATAAAAAAATATTAAAAGATTGAAGTTTACATTAATAACGATAGACGCTTAATGAGATTCAGGATGATGAAAGGCGGAGATGAAAAAAAAAAAAATAAATCTTGACGCGATTTGGCGATGATCTTCCAATCAATCTGGAAACACGCATTGCGTGCACGCGCATCGTCATGGCATCGACCGGGCGTTTTGCACCGTGACGTTGAACCTGCAGTGGCATAACCGCGTAACGGTAATCTTCTTACGGAGCGGTTAACAAAGTACCCTACCTCTCGCCAGACGGAAAAGATGGCTTCTGGTCGCGGTATTAGTTGGCTTACTCGATTTCGGATTAGATCGACTCGTAAAAACAAATTAGTTCTTCAAATAGTCTCATTATGAACCAATCGTTGCGAAGAAGAAAAAAAAACAGTATGTGTATATAATCTATGTATTTAAATTATTTAGCGAATTGGGAAAAAGGAAGTAGCTCGACAAAAAAAAGGTACAACGAAAAATAATTTAAGGAATGTTTATTTCGAACATCGGAGAAAATAGCCCAACGATTGAGTCGCTGGAACGTTGTTACGTGCAGCAATGACCGTAATGCGTTTTATATCACACGTGCCGCATATTAACTTCGTTACGAAACATTTACGTTGTTTTTATGCAAATAGCGACGTCTTATCACCGGTAAACCGATACACCTTCTCTTATCTCTGATACCGTTAGGCAAGATCAGAGCCGCGGCGAGCATTGCTTCGGTTTGATTTTTTTAGACTCCGCATCTTTTTTTTTTTTGACTGCGCCTGTACGTTGTATTCCACTCGGCATTACACGTTATACAAGGCCGTATATTATTTACGGTCGATAGACGCGAAGGAAGGAATGTGTATTGATCTGAGACGCGAAATAGTCCCGATAATGGCATACGTGGCTATACAGCCGGCGACACTTGCGGCCGCAACAATGAGAGAAGTAATAATGAATCTTGCATGCGTGTGTCGCGCGAAAGTTTTGTAAAGTCTCGCTCATATGGAAGTGAAATTACGTAACAGTATTGTGATGAGTTTCTTCGTTCCTTGACGTTGATAATGGATGTCGTTTACGGAGATTGTTCCCGTATGAAAAAAACTTCATTGCATAAATTAATATCACTTTGTTAATTAATTATAATATCGCGTATTAATATCAGGACGTGGGAGCGTAGATTTTTATTTGCCATCTAAACTAGGCGTTATTGCACATTAATTGGAATCTTCTTACTTCCTGTCCCACTCGGTAGTTATCAACGAGTATAACTGGATTGTATATAAATATATATAACGAGTCGAGTAATAAAAAATGCATAACGAGAACACGGAATGTTGACTTGGGATGTTTTTTTTTTTGTATTTTCCCTCGAATTTTTCTCACACTGATCCCGCTCTTGAAATGGGCAGTTCACATTAGCTCTTCCTTTTTGCTTCTATTTTGATAAGTCCGCCACGATTGTACCGTTACTTCATGCTGCAGCATATCGTTAATCGCTTTAATTATGACTTACTGCGGACTTACAGGGAGTTGCCGGAGAGTTGCCTGGTCGGATAATTGCGCATCGCGTGCGTGGGTTTTGACGCGTAGTACAAAAAATTAGCA